ACACTAGAACATCATGGAGACTGCAATTATTCACAAAAGACCAGCACCAGCGTCGCTTGTTTGTTTGTTTGTTTGTTTTGTTGGGTTAGGCCCTTTCGGTCCAGTAAGACCATTTCAGAGCCGGGAGGATGATAGGATATAGGGGGAGACATTGGTCTGGGCAGGCACCCTAGTGAGTCGCCGGGGCTGAGCCCGTCCGAAGACAGGCCACCCAGCCCCAAGGCACTCACTGCACCCGGGTACGGGGTGCGCCCCCTCGGGAGCAGCGGTGCCGCTCCAAGGGAGCAGCCCGCATGAGATAAAGTTGCCTGTCCAGCCCGGAAGGGGGTGGCGGTGTGGAGGAGAAGGATTTCAGTATCCTGAGGATAGAAGCATGGAACGGTGCAGCGTCGCTTGGAAGCTAAGCCATTTCGTATTGCTGATGTCGGTCTATGTAGTGAGTTATTCTGACGATTTTGTGTAACGTGTCATTTCTATAAATTTTCAGTTTGGTTAATGTTTTCTTCCTCTAGTTTTTCCGCCATCCATGCATCGTATTGCTCGCTACAAGCACGATAATGGCACTTGCTGAACGTCACGTTCCCTTGAGCTGCAGTTGCCGGCTATATCTAAGAACTCAACAGCGGGCACCATATTTAGATATCAAAGATATAAATCATGCTTCCACTGCATGGATGGTGCTGTGAGAGGTGCTTCTCGAGTAATTGACAGTGGCGCCATCTGCAGCTCCAGCCACCCTCACCTAACCAAACCGACATAGTAGTGCTAGTATCAGTGCCACCACCTCTGCGGTGGAAGCTCGTACGTTAGGTTCCGGCCTTGGTCGGTGGGTGGCGCTGGTGTTCTGGGCGGCTGCTGTCCTCTGACAGCCGTCAACACAGAAAACTGATCAACGATTTTGAAAGATGGTCTGACTGCCCTGTTTCAGTACATTGCTCGAAATTGACCATCGCAAAAGGGCCGTGGAGTTAAAGGAAAATAAGTTCAGATGAGGTGGTTACCAGTTGATGCATGCGGGTCAGCCCGGCTCAAAAGGCGAGGCGTCGAGTTTTACCGCTTAATCCGTGGAAGAGGTGGGCCACCAGATTTTATTAATATGTCTAACAATACCGAACAAGAGGTGGGAAGCTAAATATATTTTTTTTTTAAAGTTGTTCTTGGCTACCACTATGGTTATACCGGTGAGGTGAGTTCCATCACGGGATAAGGGCCACTAACTCAAAGAGGAACGGGACGAGAATCGAAACGTTCCTGAAATGGACAAGAAAATGTAGGAAACCAATGGCTCTAGGAAGCTGGGGACTTATAAAGGGATACTCGTCTATGGATATTGTCACATTTTTACTTTGAGCCTGACAATTGTCCTATTTACCTGCTTTTATTACGCTCGCGTGCTCCTTATAATGCGCCACATTTCATATCTGGGTTCAAATAGCCAGTAATAAGCTAAGTCAATTGAATTACACTCATCTGTTGTTTGCAACAAACAAACAATAGCGCAACGCTTTCCAGTAATAATTAATTACCGCCTGTCACGCTCCTTCAAACATAATGCCTTCATTTGGTATGCCGCCACGCCACATTCGATGTGTCGCTATAGCGCGCTACGGCAAACATGTTCCATTCACTCATGGCACGCGTGTCGTAATGGTATGACCGCGGGGCCACGCACTCTACACGGGCGACCTCGCGTTCCCGTCCCCATTGTCTTGGGCCGGAGCGGAGAGGTGACCTCAATGACCCCGTGACCGAACGGGACGGCCGGACTCGGCTGGGAACACAGAGGTCTTGTCCAGGGACAGTCCGATGAGAAATCGATAGAGGGGAGAGAATGTGGGTGAAATGCTCGTGGATGTAACATAAACTGGTTTTACGATGGATATTGTTTGGGTGAACTGATCATATTTCAGAGCTGTGAGAGAGTGAGTACAGGATCCGAAGTAAAAAGTTCCTAACCAAGATCTCTCCTTAACCAAATCGGGCGTCAGATGACAAACAAAGACGTTTTGCGTGTCAACACCACGGTGACGGCTCGTCTGCCCCCATCTACACCCATGTATCTTAGCTTGGACAATGGAGCCGGGGCCGGTGGTCCGTCCAGGGGTCCGGCGTCTCGCCTTTCTGACTGTCGTATCGCGGGTCATCGCATCATACCAGGTCAGTGGACTATCGTGGCCATCGAGCGCGGACGCTGCGGTATGGCGACACTACCCACCCGGGACAGTCGCTAGACGGCAGGAGCGGCAGTCGCCAGGCGAGGGAGCCCGAGGCGATGGTCGTCTGGCTTGGTTTATACCTTTTCTCGGTCGCAGGATCACTATTTATCACTTCATCACGACTATTTTTAACCTTCCGGCGAGCAGTCACGACTGTCACAACTATCCATTCATGATCTGAACGGCCGACCGGGCTCATATACTTCAGGAAGATCCTTAGATGGGTCCACGGAGGCCTCCTGTAGGGGTGGAGGCCTTTGAACGTCGCGGTGCCGCACGCCCACCTCCACAACCTCCGCCTCCGCGCACTATATCGGGAGCAGAAAATACGTGCTGCCGCACCGCAGACCTTGATGTCACGGTGATATATAGATGCCAAGCGACGCGGTGTGGTGTTACGGAGTCTGCGCCGCTCGTTTCTCATGTCGCCGGTCGGCCGGTTCGACTGAGACCTAGTGTGAACGGTCACCTGGGGGTGACTGGGCCCGGAAGCCAACCGTCCTGACCTTGTGCCCGCTCCTGCCACTTACCAGGTCTGCCCCCTGACGTGACAGCGATCATGCGGGGAGCACTGCACCCCCGCGCGGAGGGCACATCAAACACACTGACGACCGGGGACGCTGCGTGTCGGGACCACCAAGGGCGCGTGCCGGGGCTCGTTTAGGGCCGCCCGCAGGCACCGAGTGCCTCTATCGCTCTGATTAGTGATGGCGTATTTGGAGCGGCGACCTATATTTTGACAGTCGCGCCGGCCCGCCGTCAGTCCGTCCGATCGTAATCGTTTCACTTTCGTCTGAGTTCGCGTGTCGACTGATGTGGTGGCCCGAGAGTAATAAGCTCGAGTCATGACTTGCGTCGGATGTTTTTACCAAACATAGGCAACGGGTTCAGACCATATTGGCTATTCCACGCTGTTCGTGTGATAAAATGGTGTTGTCAGACGAAAGACAGATGAAGGGGTAATTCGACTTTGGAAACCTTGGCCAGCGTCTAGCTAAGTTTTAGAGAATATCTTCTTCAAACATGATCAGCCAAGCCTTATTCAACTGGCCACGCGTTATGTTTTCCAATGGCAAAATCGAAGACACCGTGCATATATCTCTACCACGCGTCAACATTAGGCACTGATATATTTGACCATCTCGTGAAGGCCGAAAACGCTTTACTGATCTGGTTCGACACATATCTTCAGGCTACTTACCAAGCTTTGAAGCTCACCGTTCGCTGCAAGGTCGGTAATGCTGAGTCATGTGCGATCTCTTCGATCGGCAAGTAACGCCCTGTCGGTCGGTCCCACGGATCTAACTTATGATTTCATGCAACAAGACAGCTCTATTAAATGCCAGCTTATTGATAAACTTATTTATATGCTCCAGCATTTTGAATCATTGCTGTGCGATTTTGTCGCCACCTTTTGTTCTGCTCTGCCAATCAGACCTTCCGCACCGGTCGCTATCTCCACACCCGTTCATTTATGCTCGGCTCACGTGCCGGGCTGGGTGGGACTGGGTCCGCGCGGCCGGCCAGCAATGCCGTCTGAACGAGGTCACTCAAGCAGCCACCACCGACAGCACGGGACAGCATGGAGGTCAGACAGCCTCCAGACACCACCACGTCTCAGCTTCACTGTCCACAGTGTCACTGGAAGGTTTTGTTGGAAAGCTGTGTGAAAGCGAGCATACGAATGTTTTGGATGCCTGGAGAGGTGATAGGTAATAATAGATTCTGGATTCCGCTGTCTCCTCATTTCAGCATATCAATTTTACAGTCGGATTTTGGACTATCGCGCCCGGAAACAGATTGAGGGCAGCCCGTGGGCAGTGATCTCCAATCTCACTTGTCGATCATCAACTTCCATTTGTCAGACAAATTTGCCGTTGATCTCACTTATTGTAGGCATAAATTAAGATCTTTGGGCAGGTTACCCAGAAACGATGGGCAGTCCTATGTGGGAGTGCCCTTCATTTTCTCCAATAATGTCTTACTACAGTTACGTCGCAGAAAACATAGGTCATTGGGTGTTGTGACTTGAAATGCTTGCGTATGTACCAACTATATGTGTACATATGTGTATCTTGCCAAGCGTAGTGGATAAGAATGATCCTCTAAGCTTTTCATAGCCACCGTTCAGGCCGATGTTGTTCACAGTTAATTGTTCATAATTTTCAACTCTATAATACTGAGGAAAATGACAATTTTATGTGATGTTATTTTTTGTTAATAGCTATAAAATCGAAACTATAATGACTGAAGTGCCATGTGCGCTGCAACCAGCGTTCTCAGAGGCCTGTCGGCGACCATGCGATTATACGGGCGCGGAGTGCATTATGCCATGCTACGCCCACATCATTATAATGCCACTAATGAGCGCTAATACGCGAGCCATTGTGCGAGCCGCTAATGCGTGACCCATACCTGTGGTCACAGCCTGCCCTCGGCAGAAATTTCAGCATTTGCATGTCAATGAGGATAGGCGGAGAGGGCAGCCTCCAGGGGACAGCGCTGCACCCCTGCAGGCCCGGCCAAATCGTCCCGGAGCCCTGCGGACCACGGCGCCACCCAAACTATTTACCCGGCGTAATCGGACGGTGTGAACCCCGCATTAGCCGCTCTAAAGCGCCGTCACCGTTCGGCAAGGGGTTATTCCGGCAGGCCCACCCACAGCTTTCGGCGTCACCACATCTGATTGGGGTCAGACTAGATGGCAAGGTCACAAAGCGGCCGCGGCGCATGCGCGTAGCGATCGCCTGCTGGCCGGCCAGTCGGCGCGGCACGGCATCGGAAGGGAATAGAGAAATCGACTGCCGTAGCCCGTGGACGGTCGGCGCTGTGCGGCGTGGTTCGGCGCTGTGCGGCAAGGTCTGGCGCTGTGCGGCGTGGGGTGGTGCAGGCCACCGCGGCTTGGAGCCGGCTGGTCAGTGGAGATCTGGCCGGCTCGGCGGCGGACGGTCCCGGTGAGCGCTGAGCGGCGGGCACGTGGGGCGCTCAGCAGTGCTGAAATCGCAGACCGGTGTGCGAGAAACTGGTCTGGGAGAGACGATCCGAGTGCTGTGCGGGTTTTGTTTGGGAGGACGGACGACATTGCGAGCGAGTAATGTGACTGAGCCGCTTTTATGATCGTGGTGACTGGGACATTTGTGCGTAAAGTGACTGCGCGCTTGCGAGAGTGGGGATCTAGCTGCCGATGAGGCATAGTGACTGAAGTTCTGAGAGCGTATTGACTGAAACGCAGGGAGCCATAAGACTGACCAGCGCGGTGCAGCTGCAGCGACCATCGTATCTACAATCGGGCGCCGCGCCGTGCGCTGCGGAGTCACGCAAACCACGATCAGCTGAGGTCGTGACTGTTGCTCCTATCGTGGTTCACCGCTGGCGTAGATTTGGCGAGCTGGAACCACCGAACGGCAGCTGGGTTGCAGTGGCACACAGCTGTGAATCCAGCGGTCAGTAGCTGAGATCAGACAGTGCAGTGAACAAGGCACAAGCCTTGTCGGGTACCTACTTGACTTCGGTAGCAACCGAAGTATCGGTGCTAGTTCCTTCAGCTCGGTGGTAGCTGAGCTGAAAGGAGCTCGAGTTACATTGCGCTTAGTGATTGGATGTGTCTCTTCCGTTACTGACGTCTGCTGCTCACAATGAGTGTCCAGATCTACATCAAGACGACGGACCCCGCTCCTCCACCGGTGAGTTCCAGCGAACTTCGTCCCGCGACTTGTGCGAAATTCCTCCATCGGCGCCCAGTCTCGTGTCGATCCCACGAAGTAGCCATGAATGGGGCGCACGTGTCTGCGAATTGTCCCCACGACACGCCGATTAAATATGACACATTTCAATGGTGAAATTCATAATCTTGATCAGTTTGTGGCAAACAATCTAGCGAGCGTGAGTGGAGAAAGTGTCAAACATAGGTAGTCAAACAAATACAGCTTCGATCTATCACGTTTCTATGGAATTTATAAAGCTGAGTGAAACGTGTTCAGCGTCTTACTATCAAAGGATCGGGCACAAAGTTTCCTCAGTAGCGCCTACTGTCGTGCTTTTACTGTGTTGGCGTTGTGGCCTGATGGTTCATTCATTTGATATGGTCGTATGGAAATGTTTTTATTTATTAACATTTATAGCTGTATTTATTAACAGCTAACCCTATCAGCTCTCAATCTTCGATGTGTAGTTTGCTAAAAGCTAGAAATATGTGTAAGCATTCACATTGATAATTCTTTCCTTATATCGCCTTTTTGACCTGGCCTCCGTCCTTCATTTTTCGGTACAAGACGTTTCAGTCTTGTCGTCTCGTGCAGTCGTCTCCAACCCGTATTCCCAACCCCCATTCCAGCCCAGCCCTCACCACGCACTCACTCCGTCCGACCGTCTCTACGCCTCCGCCAAAGTCGGTCGGTGGGTCGGCGCGGTGCGGTGGTCGCCACCCGCTGCGCCCGGCCCTGCAGTTGAGCGGTGTTGGTCGCTGCAGGCCACCCGAGCTCAGCGGGCCAGGCCGGCAAGCGGAGAACGCTAACGGTCAAACGCCGCCGCTCATACTCGCTCACGTGTCGAGCGCTGACCGCTCTCGTTTCTCCACGGAGGGACGCGGCGACAACGGCGTGGAATCACGTGCAGTGCGCGCAGGAGTATGCGAGATGTTCAAAACATTTGTCGCGTTTCTCCCGGAGCGCGGCTGTAAAGGCAGCACGTGGGCGTTTACACGCACGTGAAGGAGTCCTGATACGGTGGGAACAGGCGGAGCTCGCGTACGGCACAGTCGTGCATGCATAATATATCGACTGTGGCACGTGAATGACCGACAAGCCACCAACAGGCTTGGGTGCGTCCGGATTGATTTCTTTCCAAATCGCCATGGGTGATATTATCTCGTATTCTGGAAAACTATTCCGCCTCATTTATACGATATCACCGTATCTGTCATTAGCTGATATCGTTTAGCATATCGGAATGGATTAGCTCCATATAGGTGAATTATATTAGCTTTATCGGATTCTTTTTTGCGTCTCTCCGCTCGATATTTAGGTCTCTGGACAGGTGGGGTCGCTCGGCTCCAGTGAGTCGCCGCGAGATCTCCCGATAGCAGGAGGGTTGGAATCGTTAAACCTTTCGGTGAACCGTTCCCAACCAGGGCAGGGTTGAGACTCTTTTCATGCCTCTCGCTCCTCTCATTCCCATGGGTTTGGTGTCCCATATCCGAAAAGAAAGAAATTGAAGGAAAAGATATGTAGAAACAAGCACTAACTGTGATGCAAATGGTGGTGAGTTTCAGTGCAATGCCAGCAGTCGTGATTCGTGAGCTTGCTGTCTTACTTATGAGAGCCCATCGGTGTCTTTTTCTGCCATTGAACGCCCATTTCGTAAAAATATCACTCAAAAATGCCACAAACTTCTGGATTTTCTCCGGTTTGATGTTGATAAACAGCCGTTGCATATCACATTACATGTAAATAGTTTCAGCAGACTTATCGAAAGATCTTTTCAATGTCATTAATTACACCAGCCCCGACAAATTGCGCTTATTATTCAGATTACAGCCCTTATCTCTGAGTGATTTCAACTGGGGCTCATTTCACTTTGTTTTCTCCCATTAGGTCGGTCCCATTTTTCAGCCGCCTCGCTGCGCGATCACGCAGGTCACTATGGACCTCCAGCCGCGGCACGGGGCCGCGATCTCCGGCTAGACGCCGTTTTCCGGCCGTGTTTTTCTATTGTTTGGCGCCGCCCGGCCGGCCAGCCTGTTGTTCCGGCCGCGTCTGTCTGGGTAAGCGGGCCAAGGCTCGCGGCAGCTCGTGATAGCACTGCCGGCCGGCTGTGCCGGCGGCCTCGCCCATCTCTCTCCTCCCTCTGCCCTCCCCGCTCCTCTCCCCGCTCCTCCCCCGCTGAACGACCGAGAGGGACGGTATACGTCGGACGTGACCGCCCGTCCGAAATGGCCGCCCGCGACTGTCCGCCGGCCAAGGCCAGTGCCGGGTAAAAGTGCGAGCTTGCAGTACCGCCACGGCGCTCTGAGAGAGCTCTCTAAGCTGCTGATCCGGCAGGCTCAGCCTGCCCAGGCGACACTAGCCGGCTTTTCTGCACTGTGGCTGGCTTGAGACCGAGATTAAAACGACAGGGACATAGCGCCTCGAGGCTACAGCTGACCACAGCCTGGCAGCGCGACTGACTGCCTTTCGTCACATCTGCTCCATCATTTCGATAGAGAAAATGTTCTCTTGCTTCACACTCATCCATTGCTGCTCCTAGCTGAGGCCACCGAACTACCATCGCTTGTTTGTCGACTGTTTGGTCCACCGATGTCACTTTAATAACCGCGACACTCTAATAGCCCAGTCCGGTACCGTTTTGCTCAATCGTGTAACCACGTCTAATTGCACTTAATCGCGCAATAGCCTGGGGAATCGCGCCACTCTCGTCTTTTCCAGACTAATCGCAATGGACTCCAACGGTGTCCAGCTAGCCCTTCACGGTTCAGCTTGGTCTTTCCGACCTGTCTGACCGTGCCTGACCTTGCCTGACCCTCATCTGACCTCGTCTGACACCCAACTGACCTCGTCTGACCTCATCTGACCTGGTCTGTGCAGTCTGGCACCCGTCTGTCCTGAAGTGTTGACACGTCAGAGGCTCTCTCGGAAGTGGTCTGCGCCGTTCCTTCCCGAAGTGTGGACCGTGGTGATACAGCTATTGGAAACGAGCTGGCTTTCCATGGGCAGTTGAGACTGAACAGGGCTGGGCTAATCTGTGAGAAGTGAGGCTCGGAAGTGAATGAGTCGGGCATTTTGGGGTAGGCTGATAGCTTCAACAGGTGGCCTCTTTGAGTTGTAACCAAACGCGTTTCAGATGTCATCATGCATATTGTCATATGAAGGGTTATAGCAGAAACATTCCGTTATGTTCAGAAACTCGCCGAAAGATCTGGCTTGGATCTGTTGTAGTTAGATCTTATGTCCGTTAGCTTTGCTACCAAACATCAACTCCAAAGCTTTTCAGCAAATGAGGACGCCAATCAAACAGCTTTTTAATGTTTTGGTCTCGACTGGAAAGCCCTGCCTACCACCTGAAGACCCGAGGCGACTCGTATACAGTCACTGGGACGTCAGCTGGTGGTGACGGTGAGATTGCCTCCGTCGTCGTGACACAGTTCTGTGCCGGCTGGCACTGCCGCCGGCTCTGCCCGTCGTCCAGAGACCGTACCGTCCGCCCACAGTCAACTGATGAGTGTTTACCGGCCGCGAGCAGTGAGTGTGCGCCCGCCGAGCGCTCCTCAATGGTAATGCTTACTCTCTCCGCTCTCAGCACCGCTAGCCTGAAGGAGGGTCTCCTTTCAGGCGTTCTCTCAGGCTTTCCTTTTCAAGGGTCCCACAAGGACCGCACGCAAGTTGCACGTCCCATTTCTGTTGTCTGACGTAGCTAGAACAGCATTCACTTTCGCGACCTTTGTTCCGGCTGTTATTTTGTTGGTGGCATGAAGAAGTGTGTTATGATTTTGCCATCCCTCCTCTGTGTGCGATTGTGGTACGGGTCAAATGTGTCCCATAATGGGAAAATAATCACTTGACCCTGGCGCTCATTAGAAAGAACTTGTCGCCAAACGATACCTGCGATTATCTGTGACCGAGAAGCCTTGAAAAGCAGACACAAGGCCCTCCAAGCAACTACTCAGCATATCACAGCCAAGGGGACCATTTTATATGAGGCCAAATTGATTTCCGACCCAATTTATTGGGGTCGAGCTGGGGCCGGCGGCGTGACTCCAGCCCTGACATCGGGCTGCGAGCCGAGGCGTCGGCACGGCTCCGATGACGGCGGGGGCGGGGGCGGCGGCAGTTCCGGTCCCCCTGCCGCCCACCCGCCAAATCACCAACCACTATGGGATATACGGCATCACGCATTGTAGCTGCGAGCACGCCTGTTTGGCGCGCACGTGGCAAAAAGCAGCGCAGTTCCTGGGTGCCGCCGTGAGCGCCCGACGGCGGAGTCACGGCCAAAGGCACTCACCCGATCCAGTCACGTCTGGTGTGGCCCGTCACGACTCACCCCTCCGACCCCTCTCCCCTCCCGTCCCCCTCCCTGAGGCACGACCCGCCCTCGTTGGGGCACGATCATGCCAAACAGCCTGTGGAAGACGCCCGTCAGCCGTCAGAGCAGACTCGCCGACCCCTTTATACCTTGGCCAATCAACTGAACACCGCCTCCTCCAATGAAGTGAGTTGGGGAGTGCGACGCATCATAAGTAAATATCCCGGGGGCCGTTTGAGGAACTCCGCCCGCGGGCCCAGCGACTGGTCATTACGGGATGGGCGCGCGGGCCGCCCGCGCTATCTCCATTTCGCGGCTGTCGGCGCCGCTGAGACCTGGTGGGCGTCTAATCGTTCCCCGACCGGCCTGACTGACGTCTACTGATGGACCGAGACGGCTCACAGCGGGAGATTCCTGCACACAGTGGGGGTACGCAAGTATTTACCAGACAACTAGTGCGAGGCGAAAGTCATTAACGGTGTGAGGCTAATTTTAACAAGAAATATAAAGGTCATGTTAAGCTCGGAATGAGACGTAAGTTGTGGAAAAGAGCTTCTTTTTGTCCTAGTGCACAATACAGCGGGCATCGGGAAAGTTATAAATCATGAAACCTGAAGAACGGTCTGAGGGCCGTCGAAAAAACGTGCAGTGTCATCCACCGATATCA